AGGCCGGGGACCCACTGGGGCTGGCCTGACACCCGGGGCCAGTGCTGGTGCAGAGGCAGGAGCACCTATGGGAGGCATGGGCTCCCTGACGGGCGACTGGCTGGAGAGGCCCTGAAGGTCAGCTGGGCATCAGGCCCCTCCCTTTCTTCTCCCCTCTGGCATCTCCCCATTACTCCTATTGTGACCCCATTTTGCATCTGTCCCTGAGGCTCTGAATTTTGCCCCTGGTGCCAGTACCTGTACCCTGGGTTGACCCTAACTTGCCCCAAGGACCACCCTGAGACCTCAGACGCACCCAGCTCTAGCCCCGTCAATGTGGCGTGCTGGGCCACAGCACAGCTTCCCCTGTCTCAGGGCCTACCCGGCCCAACCCCAGCCACAGCCCGGGCCTGGACCGCCAGGCTGATGCAGCCTCTGGCCACAGCTGCCTTATCTGCCAGCCAGCTGGGCCAGGGCCTCCGGGCCTAGCTCATCCCTCCAGGTCACTCAGATGCCCACAGCTTTGACCCACACGCGTTTATTTTAAAAGCTTTCTGGATAGGAGCTGGGGGTGGGCAGGTGGAGTCCCGGGTCTCCACAGGGCTGCACGTCCTGGGGGGTGTGAGCAGGCCTTCTCTGAGGGGCGCTGGATGGGGACATGTTGCAGCAGGCATTTACCCTGAGGGACGTCACAGCCCTGAGGCTCCCCAAGGGGATCTGCCTCAGATGTCCAGCCATACCATCCTCGGTCAGCCCTGAGCAAGGCGCTGGGGAGCTGCCACCCCTGCTCAGCCTCGGGGTAGTGGGGTGCCAGCCCTGCATAAGTCACAGGTGTAACCCCAGCCTGTGCTGTCCAGGCAGAGGTCAGGGACAGTGAGGTCTGACATGATGGGAGTGAAAGTGGAGCCAGGCTGAGGGCCAGCAAGCGTGGGCAGAACCCCCTCTTGAACAGGGAGGACACAGGCCAAGAACCTCGGGACGCTGGCGACAGATGTGGCACCTGATGGGATGGAATGCCTGGACCAGGGAGGGGCCGGAAGACAGTGACCCCTCCACGCCAGACCCCAGCTCAGGAGGCCAGGTGCCAGACGCAACGTTGGGTTGCAGAGTACACTCCAGGTGCCTGGGAGCCAGTTCTGACCAGGGACAGGTGGAAGGGCAGGTGCAAGAGGTGGTGGTGGTGGGGGAATGAGGGTGAAATGGCTCAGACTCCTGGAGGTGCAGCTGTCCCTCTCCACCACGTGGCTGCCATGACAGGGGCTCTGGGAGAGATGGGTACTGGAACCCAGCTCCAGGCGGAGGCACGATTCACCACGGACCTCTTCTGCACATCTGCCCCACAAGGGCTGCTACAGTGAGGCCCCAGTCCTCAGCCCTGACCCTGCTGCTGGGGACCCCGGTCAGGTGCAGCGCGGTTGGGAGCAGCCCCAGCGGCCGGCAAGGCTCTGAGGCTGGAATGGGCTGTCAGCATAGACCGGCTGGGGCCGGGCCCCGCCCCGGCGCCGAAGACGGAGGAGGCGGGCCTTGACGGGTGGGCCTTGTGCGCAGGCCAGCAGCGCCACCTGCTGGGCAGACACTTGCGCTGCCGCAGCAACCGTGGGCTCCAGGGCGCTCTGCAACAGCCCGAGGTCTGTAAAGAGTGGGAGGGTGGGGGGCGCCCAGAACGGCTCCAGGACCTCCACCCATCCACTCCCATCTACTCCACCCTAGGGCATGCCACCACCCCAGGACCCTGCGCCCTGGTGAGCCGGGTCCTCACCCTGGAACAGAGAGTCCAGCAGGTCCTGGTTGATGCAGCTGGGGCTCGCATGGTGGACCAGGAAACCTGGACATAAGTAAACATGTGACCGTCTGGTCCCTCTCCCTGGCAGAGGGGGGTTGGTCCAGCTCCCAAAGCCCTGGGCGGGAGGGACCGTGCGACCCACCCCAGGACTGTCCCACCTATGAGCATGATGGCTGCACGGCGGAGGGTGTCCTGCCGGCTCCGTAGGTAGCCCTGGGTTTGGCTCAGGAAACTGGGCACGTGGCTCGGATATCTCTGGACCTGGGGACAGATGGGCTCATGGCTGGATGGGAGGGCCAATTCTGAGTGGAGAGGACACTGCAGAGATAAAGCTAGGGGCTGCCCCAGGACAGGACTGCACGACCTTAGGGCTTAGACCCTGCCCCACGAGGACCCTGACTCGCAGCCTGATGGTCAGGTTCGGCGGGGATGGTGAATCAGCTTGGGGGCGTGGCCCTGGAGAACTGGAACCAGCGGGGCCGTTGACCCACCCTCTTCTCGTCACGGGCTTCCCCTACTGACCAGGCGGTGGCAGACGCGGCTTAGGGCCTCGGGGCTGTCGTAGTGAGCCATAGTAACCACCTCCTCCAGCAGGCCCCAGCGAAGGGCCTGGTCGCAGCGGGCCAGAGTCCACTCAGAGCTCTGGGATGGGGGGGAGGGAGCAGGGTGAGAGGTCTCAGAAAGAGCCCGGAGGTAGGGGCAGACGGCTAGCTTGGGGGAAGAAGCCAGGGCAGGGGGCTTGAACATAGGAGCGCAAAGGAAGACCAAGAACATGGAAGCCCATGACCCTGCCCCCGACTTCCCGCAATCTCCGCTGGGGCGGCGGGGTGGAGCACTGGGGAGGACGGTCTCGGGGGCGGCTGACCTCAGCAGCATCCCGGCTGGGGTCGTGCAGGCGCAACAACAGCGGCACTAGAGACTGCAGTACCAGCTTCCGCAGAGGGCCGCGCAGACCCACTCGGAGCCCGCCCCGGCCCCGCCGCACTAGCATCCCGAGGAGCCCGACAGCCGAGGCGCGGACCGAGTCCCGGGCCTGCGTGGGGGACGCAGTCAGGGCGGAAGGAGAGGGAGAGGGAATAGGAATCCGGGCGCCGCAGTTGAGCGAAGTGGGGCTGGGCCGGAGAGAGAGACCTGGGGGAGCCGGACTACGGCGGGGGGGGCGGGGCCTGGAGGAAACGCTAGGGAGAAGAGGCGGGACGAATGGGCGCAGCTGGGCTTGTGGGGCGGGGCCTGAAGGAGCCCACAGGGGCTTGTGGGGCGGGGCCTGAAGGAGCCCACAGGGGCTTGTGGGGCGGGGCCTGAAGGAGCCCACAGGGGCTTGTGGGGCGGGGCCTGAAGGAGCCCACAGGGGCTTGTGGGGCGGGGCCTGAAGGAGCCCACAGGGGCTTGTGGGGCGGGGCCTGAGGGAGCCCACAGGGCGGGGCGGGGCGGGCTCACGTCATCCAGCAGCGGTGGGAGGCGCGGCCTCAGCTCGGTGCTCAGGAGCCGCACTGGCGCCCGCGGCCGAAGCAGGAGCCTCCGCAGCGCGCCTAGCGCTGCGCCGACTAGCCGTGCGTCACCCTCGCCCAGTGCTCCCAGGAGCGCGGGTAGCAGCGTGCTCACGTGCCGTACCTGCGGGCGGGCGCAGGGTCTCGTCTTTGACTCCCTCCCCCCGCGGGCCCCCAGCCCGATCTGGGCCCACCCTCACCTTTCCGCGGTTCAATGCAAGGTGGCCTAGGCCGAGCAGGCCCAGCCAGCGCACGGTGGGCTCGGGGTCGCTCTGCCAAATGCAGAGACGCTCCAGGATGACTTCCTCCCGCAGAAGCCTTGCGGTGGGCCGGCTTTGCAACAGCTAGGCGAGGGTACAGGGCTCAGCACACTTGTAGCCCGCCCCCGCCGCTTAGGTTATCAAGGCCAGTGTCACCTGTCACCCCGGTCTGGGAAGCAAGCTCACCCCCGTGAAGAAGGCCATGGCGGTGAGGCGCTGCGGGTCGTCGGCGCTGCGCAGCCGGGGAAGCAAGTCTGCGAAGAGGCCTCGCAGGTGGTGGTCAGCGTGCGCCACTATGGCACTGGGGTGGGGCGGACATGGGAGCTCTCCCTCCACTTGGGGCCTCACTCCCGGAAGATCTCCCAGCCCGGCCATTCTTAGTTCCTACCTCACCCCCTGCCCTTGGGGAGCTTAGGTTCGCTGCCCCTAGGTCCCCTCACCTGGCCAACAGCAAGACTCCTTCTAGGTGGGTGTGGGCTCCCGCCAGCCTCCTCCAGCCTCCAGCCTGCTCCATGCAGGTGACCACCATGCGGCTCCCGTCCCCGGTGAGCAGCGCCTTCAAGGCTTCCACAGCACAGCTGGCAATGGGAAGGTAGGCAGGGAGTGCCAGGAGGGTGCTGGCCCACCCCCACTTGCCCTGATGCCACGTCTCTCACCTGGCGTGGCTGTGCGGTGGCCCCCGGTGGGAAGGAGCCCAGATCTTGGGGGAGCACTGGCCTCGAGCTAGCTGGTGCAGCTGTGTAACCAGCACCAGTAGCAGGTGAGGGTAGAAGCCCCGGGTGGCTGCCACGCAGCCTGACACAGCTAGCATCTCCCCGAGAGCACACGTGGCCTGTGGAACAAGGGGCCCACTCAGACCCTGGCTGTCAAAGCCCCGTCGGGCACCAGAGGACGGTTGTGCCATAAGGACGAGGGCTCAAACATGCGTGACATTGCCAACACAGGTGATGGGCGTGAGCCATCCACTCTCACACAGCCCAGTTGTTGCCCCTTAGGCCGGCCGGGGTCACCTACCGCCAGCGCCTGCGGCTCCCGGCCCCCCCCCCCCGCCGCGCCCTTCAGCACCCACAGCAGCTGCACCAGCACCTGCCCACTCACACGCTGGCTCCGGCTCAGGCTGCGCCACAGCTCCACTGCTGCCCTGGGGCCAGGAAGGGGCAGCGTGAGGTGGGGTCCCATGCAGGGCCAGGCAGGGGCGCAGAATTCCCAGGCTAGGGCCAAGGCAGCCACTAGGACTCCAGCAGGGTAAGGGGCAGGTAAAGCACCCCTGTCTCCCCAACCCCCAAATCCCAAAGAAACCAGCTCAGTGGCAACTGTGCAGGCCACCACAGAGCCAGGCCTGCAGTCAGCTGCCAGGTCACTCAGAGCCCTGTTGGGTCAATGACAGAGAAACACACCTGGCATAGGAGATGACTTGGAGAATAAAACCTAATAACTTCTGGGGCAAATTAACCAGGGCCTGGGCTCCAGGCACAAGAGCACCCCCGCCCCTTGGAGGGCCCCAGGTAGGATAGCTAGGGCGTTTATTGCACCAGAGAAGGACGAATGGAAGGGGTGGCAGGAGACGAGGAAACTGGACGGCTCCGCTCCCCCACAGCCAATGTCAGTCATGGCCAGCCTGCGCAGCTAAGCGGGAAGGGGAAGGAAGTGCAGTGGGGTCCTCAAGGCAGGACCAGGCTGAGGGGCGGGCTCACGGGACGGCCGCGCTGTTACCGGTCTGCGGGTAGGGAGCGTGGCAGCAGCTCGTATACCACGTCCTGTGCATGCTCCAGGGCAAGTGCGCTCAGCACCCTCAGGGCCACTTGGCGGGGTCTCCCCTCGGCCAGGCTGGATACTTGGGCCAGCAGCCCGCGCACCAGGGCATGCACCTGGCACAGAAGAGGCAGAAGTGAGCAGTCAGATCTGACCTCTACATTACCCTCTTGCAAGTACCTGGTAGGAGCAGCCTTCAAGGAGCGCTCCAACCACTACTCAGAAGGCATCACTAAGGTAGGGAGCGAGTGGGAGCTTCACCTGGTCCTCCAACCGCTTCCCGCGGGCCTCCAGAGCTGAGCACAGGGTGAGCGCTGTTGCTTGAGTCCCTACAAGGCCAGCCTCTTCTAGGCAGGCAGCTGTACACAGCGCGAGGTCTGCAAGGACCCCCTCCTCCCAGGAAATCTGCAGGACCCAAGACAGGGTGGGCGGGGTGTCTGAAGTCTCCAAGCCTCCCCCACCCCTCCTCAGTCACTCCCAGCTTCCTACAAAACCCCACGCCCCTCTGGTCCCAGTCTCCCTGTATCACTTCTTGGCTCTGGGCCAACCCGCAAACCCCTGTGGCTCAGTCTCAGGGCCTTGCGTTTGTGCCACTCCACCCTCTAGCACCCCAGCCCTTTCACCCTCTGGCCATCAGTGTCCATGAGCCTGGATCCCCCAGGCCCGTCCCCACTGTGTCCCTGTCCCACCGCTCACCTGAGGGAGCCCCTCAGGGGCTGGCTCCTGGGCATTGTGTGGGGAGCAGACCTTGCCGCCAGTTGTGGTGGCAGCAGCTCCACTCCCCGGCTCAGCCTCGGAGGCTGGGGCCGGGACCTGAGGTGCAGCCTGAGGTTCAAGCTCCCAAGGCTCATGCTGAGGACCCGGGGAAGGGCGTCCCAGGGGCTGCTCCTGGCCAGCCCGGATCCCTTCAGCCAGCGCCGTCAAGGTCAAGGCCCCCACAGGGCCCCCCCGGGCCCGGCCCCACACCCCCCCAGCCATGGCTGCCCCAGCTGTTGTACCTC